AGTCACGTGCCATTTCTGAAGGAAATTGTGACTTTTCTACTTTTTGGCAATCATAAATACCTCGACCATAAATAAGAACATTTAAGTCTTGGTCTGAACATAGATGTTTATTTCTGTCCGGCAAATACCCAAGGGTAAGACTAACAGGTCATGTAAACTGTGCATGATAAACTTAAGACAGAATGAAACTATTATCCGCGCTGGGCATGCCGTTTGGCCTTTTGTGCCGAGTTTGCCATTTCCAGCTGTGCTACGTCAGGCTGTTGTCTGAGGTTTTGTTAGTCAACACCTGTGTGTGTTGGAGGTGGTACTTGATTCTGGTTTCAGTTGTGTTTCTGTACTGTCTAGACCTGAGCCTCTTCTAATGTGCTTTATTTGGTGAAATTTCTCTTTAGATCTTATGTTTACTTTTAAGATTGGGAGTTTGATTCTTCATGTGTGTGCATGGTATTGTGCATGCACGTGTACAGGCGTGCTTGCCCATGTGGGCACGTGTGGAGGCCAGTGGGGATACTGGATGCCCTTCTCAATTGTTTCTCATCTTCTCTGAGACGAGGACTGTGGTGAGCCTGTGTGACTGGCCTGGCTGGCGGGTGAGCCTCCCAGGACCTGCCCTGTTTCATGCTTGCAGTGCTGGTGTTACAGACCTTTGCCACCTTGCCCTGCCTTTCTACGGGGGCTGGGCATTGTGCTAAGGTGCAGTTTACCCACTGAGCCGTCTCTTCCCAGCCCAGCAGTTGCTTTTACTGCTGAGTTTTCAGAACTCTTTGCACACTTAGGATCCAAGTCCTTAGTTCCCGATACCTCCTACAGTTATTTTCTCCCAGTGCATGGCTTATTTCCTCTTCAGAGGGGATTTTGAAAAAGCCCAGTTAAGTGTTTTCATTCATGAATCATGTTTTCAGTGTTAGATCTCAGACTCTTAGACTGAGTCATGCTGTTGTGTTTCCCATTCCATCCTCCTGGAACGTGTCTCCCCTGGCTCCCTCTTCCAGGGCTCAGTAGCTTCCTGTAAGAACGCGGTGGCCTGTCTTGGTGAGTGCTCCCTCTTCCAGGCACCCACGGCGTGCCTTTCCTGCTGCTCTGTGGACTTCTCTCTTGGATGGCCTGCTAGGCCATGCCAGGCTGTCGTTATCACAGGGCAGGCACCGGGTGCCAGGTTCATCGTTGCATTAAGCCCCGTGATTCGTGTGTGGTGACTGGCACTTACTGAATATATGAATGAATGGAGTTCCTGGGTACATTCAGCTGCCCATCCTGCACGTATCTGACCTCCACATGTCTGTCCTGCACACGCCTGTCCCTGATTACTTTAAGTGCTCTGTTCTGTCCTTCCGCCCAACTGGCTCTGTCCCAGCTTTGAAGCCTTGTGAGCTCTTCCCATCTGTCTCCTAGCAGTCTTTCTTATCCCCCGTGTAGAGGTGTGTGGGGGTGTGCCAGGGATTTGGGGGTGGGGCACAGAGAACAAATCATCACTCATCTCAATCTTCAGAGCCTAATAACCTTACCCAACACTAAGCATTGCGACGGCGTCACTGGATGCATTAAGATACGTGATTGTCTCCTAATTTTTTTTTTTTGTTTTTGAGATAGGGCCCAGTCTTGATTGGCCGTGAAGTATTTATGTAGCCAAAGATGACCCTGAATTCCTGATCCTCCTGCTTCTCCTTCCCAAGTGCTGGGATTATAGGCATGAATCACTGTGCTGGATAGTGTTAGTGTCAACTTGACACACCTGGGTAGAGGGAGCCTTACTTGGAGAATTGCCTCCATAGGACTGGCCTGTGGCCATGTCTGAAGGGCATCTTCTTGATGAGTGATGTGGGAGGACCCAGCCCACTGTGCGTGGTGCCACCCCTGGGCAGGTGGGCCTGTGTTGCATAAGAAAGCAGGCTGAGCAGGGGCCAGGGGAGCAAGCCTGTAAGCAGCATTCCTCCACGGTCTCTGCTTCAGCTCTTGACTCCAGGTTCCTGCCCTGAGTTCCTACCTTGGCTTCCCTTGATGATGGACTGTGCTGTAAAACAAACAAACCCTTTCCTCCCCAAGTTGGTTTTGGTCAGTGTTTTCATCACAGCAATTGAAAGTAACTAGAGCAGTCACCATGCCTGAATTTTTGTTTTAAGGTGTATTTATTTATTTATTTATTTAGGGATAGGGTTTCACTGTGAGCTCTGACTGACCTGGAACTCCATATATAGACCAGGCTGGCCTCAAACTCAGAGTTCTCTGCTTTCCAAGAGCTAGGATTACAGGTATGTACCATCAGTCCTGGCTAGATTTATTTATTTTTATCTTATGTGTATAAGTATTTGGTCTGCATGTATGTGCACTATGTGCATGCAGTGCCTGTTGGGGCCTGAAGAGGGCATCACCTTCTCCTGTCTTGGAGTTATAGGAGGCTATAAGCTGCCATGTGGGTGCTGAGAACTGAGCCAGGTCCTCTGCAAGAGCCGGGAGTGCTCTTAATCTCTGAGCCTCCTCTCTAGGTCCTATGCTTGGCTTTTAATCTAAACCTTTTTTCCCCCTTTTTAAAATAACCCTAAGTTAACACATAGGTGTGTGAACAGCAGATTTGGCAGATGGAGGCCGCTGAGCTGGCCTGCCTGCTACTCCTTGTGTTGTCTTCATTGGCTGCCTGTGGGCCCGCGTTTCATACAGGGTGTATCCAAGTCTAGACACGGGTTGTGGTTCTGTGGGTGTAGACCCGAAAGAACCCGAGTCAGAATACAGAAGTGCATTAGAGCCCCGTTCACGGCAGCCAAGTTAGGGAATCAGCCTAGGGGTCTGTCAGCAACAAACTGGGCACAGAAAACACAGTCTGTTTGCACAATGGAGTTTCAGCCACAAAGAACAGAATCATTTGCAGGAAAATGAATGGAATGGTAGCTTATCACTTTAAGCAAAGTAAGTCAGATTGATTAAGACAGGCATCATGCAAAAGTTCTTCCACATGCGTGGAACCTGGCCTTAGGGGTGGGTGGGACGGCATGGGGAAAGGTTGGGAAGGGTGACAAGAAAGCCAAAGAGGCTGTCATAGAGAGAGAGCAGGAGGCTAGTCACAGGGAGGAGGCAAGAGTAACGGGGGTGCAGTGAATATGATCAGATATGTTCTGTGCACGCAGGGATATGTCACAGTGAAACTCGCTGGATGGTGCCGTTAATATGCCTCCCAAAGGAGAAGGACCCAGCTTAATGCAGAAAAGACCCTCCTCCGTCCCCCACCCGCGTCTCCCCTCACACCTCTGCACATCTGTCCCTTTCACTGGGAAGCACAAACAGTTCCTCCAGGTTGTCTGCCCATTTAAACGGGTGGCTTGGGTGAAGCAGAGGTGTCTGTCTCCCTTTCTCTGCAGTGTCAGTGGAAATTGGAGTGCCAGTGTCTTTTCAGGCTCTTGGGGTGAAAGGGATACGGCTGTGCCAATGCCATGGAACTAAAATCAGAACTTAGGTTTCAAAGAATTTACAGTCTGAGGTGGTAGGAGATGGATGGGCAAGCGACAGATGATACTGTACGGGAATGGAATGCTCTGCGCTGGGGCTTCTGGGAAGGCATGTGAAGAAGGCATGGAAGGGCACGTGGACTTTCAAAACTGAGCTCAGCAGTGGAAGATAATTTGGCCTGTGCAAGCCTGTGGTGCGATAAATGACTCGGAAGTTGTCTGTGTTTGTCTGGAGTAGGAGGGGGAATGTGTGATGCAGCGGTGGCCAAGGAAACAGAGGGAGACAGGGACCTCATGTGCCAAGCTTCACCCCGTGGCTCAAGAGTTATATGAGGCATCAGACGGAATCACACCTGCTCTGTCTCATGGGCGTGAGCCCCAGTGGGAGCTCTAAGGACCACCAAATGGCCTTGGGATGCTCGCTGAGCACTGAGAAGCCACTCTGTGGCACATCTTGTCAGTTTGTGGCATTATTCTTGCTTTTGGAATAAAATAACCTCTTCCCAGAGAACGTGTAGGATTCTCGATGCTTTATACATTTGCGAAGGTGTGGAGTCAGATTTCTTCCTGAACAGGAAGTTTGACAGCAACAGTCTCTTTTCCTTGGAAAGCAGGAGTCAGAGATGCTGGGGAGATTGAATTTTGTGGAATTCTGCCTGCTTCCTGCTGAATGAAGATCTGCTGTGGATAATGTGATCGTTTACAATCAAAATAGTTTGACAGGGGCCGAAGAGATGGCTCAGTGGTTAAGACCATTGGCTTCCAGAGGATCCAGGTTTGATTCCCAGCACTCACATGATGGCTAACAACCATCTATAACTCCAGTTCCAGGGGATCCAACACCCTCTTCTGACCTAGGGTATTGTATGACATAGGGGCACTTACACACATTCAGCCAATACACTCATACACATAAAATAAAAATAATTAAAAAAAAAATAGTTTGGCAAGGCAAGGGACACAGCCAGTGGGTAAAAGTGCTTTCCTGGTAAGCCTGACAACCAGAGGTCAATCTGGAACTAGTGTAGAAAGTCAGATATGGTGGCACACATCTTTAATCTCAGTGTTCCTACTGTGAAATGGGAGCAGCACTCAGTGAGGGGATGTCTAGAATGACTCTTAAAAGCTGTCTTCTGACCTTACATGTGCACGCAAGTAAAGCTGAAGAAATGCAATGTTGTCTTTTTGTTTGCTTTTTTTTTTTTAAGATGGAGCCTCAAGTATCCCAGGCTGGCCTTGAACTTGCTTTACAGCCAAGGTTGACCTTGAACTCCTCATCTCCCTGCCTCTACCTCCCAAGTACTGAGATTACAGGTATGGACTACCATATTCAGCTTGAAAAGACAGTGTCTTAAGCGGGGTGTGGTGGTACACATCTTTAATCCCAGCACTCAGGAGGCAGAGGCAGGTGGATCTCTGTGAGATTGAGGCCAGCCTGGTCTACATAGTAAATTCCAGCGGGGGCTACAGGGAGACCCTGTCTCAAAAAGATCCCCCCAAATGTGTGTCTTGGCTCTCCTGCAAGACTCCCTTCAAGCTCTCTATTATCTTTGCCTCTAGAGACCTGATCCCCATCATCGCCACGCTGGAATATAACCAGTGGTTCACCAAGCTGTCCTCCAAGGATCTCAAGCTGGTAAGTCACTGAAGATGTAGCCAGAGCCTCTTAGCTTTGCTGCATTTCAAAAGCTGTGAAATACCGTGTTTTGCTCCTGGACTCCTGAGCCGTACACACTTCATTTCTTGAGGAGATAAGTGAGCTGCATAACATTTTGTAATGTGTAGTGTGAGATGCTTCAGAGAAGCTATCCCTGTTTTCAGTTGCTTCATAGAATAGAGAGGCTCATTTAGTGCGGTTTTGGTGCTCACTGGAAAGCTGATACGAGCTGTTCGAGTTACGTCCGCATAGCCACAGACAGCTGCTTTCATGTCCCACGGTGGCTCACTGGAAAGCTGATACGAGCTGTTGGAGTTACGTCCGCAGTCCCACGGACAGCTGCTTTCATGTCCCACGGACAGCTGCTTTCATGTCCCCCTTGCATTTCATTTTCACCCAGTTTCCCTTGTGAAGAGATTCAGGAAATAGTAACAGCTAGACTTGTTCTGATTGAATTATAACAGTTAATGTTAATTCTGTAGACACCCTCCTTTGTGTGTGTGTGTGTGTGTGTGTGTGTGTGTGTGTGTGTGTACACATACATGCATGTGTATATGCAAAATGAAATCTGTTCATTTCATATGGAATACCGGTCTGTTTGACTAGTGGAGATGAGATGCTCTGCTGGGGGCCATATGGACAGGTGCTTATCCATGAGTTAGCTTTCAGATGCTTCATTGACTAGTGCAGATGAGATGCTCTGCCGGGGGCCATATGGACAGGTGCTTATCCATGAGTTAGCTTTCAGATGCTTCATTTAGATAAGGAATAATTAAATATTGTTTTTATTGGAGACTCTGAGCTTTCAGAGTTGTAGAGTCTGAGGGCCAGAGTTTCATAACTAAGAGACTAGGAACTGAGAGGGTTCTACAGAAATGGAGATTGAGACTGTCTGGGGGACAGGCTACGTAGGTATCTGAATTTGTCTAGTTTGGGTGTGACTTAGGCATTGTGGGTGCAAAAGTGGGCTGAACTCATTGGGGGACCCCTTAGGAAAACAGCATGGAGTCAGAAACTGGAGCTTCACACTATGACTGTTACCACTCGGCTGTGGGACCTGAGATAAGTCACCCAGCTCCCTGGGTGCCAGCTTCCTGCATGCCTATTTGGTGAGGTAGTTAGCATTCATGTCCTGTTTATCTCTGTCCTGTGCTTATCTGACTGTGTGGCTCATTGTAGCCATGTGGCTTCATAAATACAGAATAAATTCCCTGAAATGATGCATGAGAGGCACAGTCCCTGACTGACAAGGTGTTTTCACATCTGTTGACTTTCCTGATTATTATCATCACAGTCAGATTAGTGAACTTGAGAAACAGATGTGGGAGTGGGTCTGATGGGAGTGCAGTGCAGCCAGCTAGGTAGCCACGTGTTTACTCACTGTGATGGGGGGTGACCTGGGAATGAGCATGTAGCCACGGTGGACATCACGGAACTGGAGCCTCGTGTTTGCCAGGGAGGTTGTCCAGGATGGAGCCAGCAGGGGGTGCAGCTGGGTGAGGGGAGTCTCTGGAGGAATGAGAACTGGATTAGCTCAGGGATCCTGGGATCGGAACAGCACATACCCAGCCGGTCGGTGTTTCATCGTTAACCCTCCCAGGTATCACTTTCTTTCAGCTGCTTTACTGTTCAGAACAGATTTTCCCAGAACATTTCATCCTGGGAAAACAAAGAACGGCAGGACTTATACACCCTCAGGTGTCCTGGGATGGAGGGGAGGAGGGGGACGGGCTTGGAGGACTGACTGCTTTTACTGCCTTTATGTTAAATGAGTTAAATGTAAGAATACAACTGCACTTTTGTGTGTACACTGCCGAGGGTCGAGGCCAGGGCCTAGGCTGGGATGAAGCAGCAGTTGCCACTGATCTGCAGTCCAAGCCCTTTCATGGACTCAGTTTTAAACATTTGCTATTTTGAAATTAATATAGTCTTTGCAAATATTACACAGTAAATTTTCTGGAAGAAGATAGTTGAGATATCACAGAAGAGATGGTGGAAAGAATGTAGGATGGGGGGGATGGGGGAGGGGTGCTCCAGAATGCCATCTTCTGGATACAGCATGGCCGACGCACCTGGGAACTCAAAGCAGCTGTGGTCACTTGCCCAAGATCAAGCCAACAAGATGAGTCAGCATTCCAGCGGGTAACACTAAGCGGACTCAGTGGGTTACTACAACCAAAATAATAGATAAATACATAAATAAATGCAACAGAGAACAAAGAAAGTAGCTAATTTACCATCGTCCAAAACTATAGGAAAGGCTACTTTTCTGCTGGTAGTGTCAACTGAGAACCTTTAGAACTCTCTCTAGGATGGGCTTATTTGAAGGAACAACCAACACACATTTGGGACTTTGTAACAGGAATGTGTCTTTCCTCAAGCAACACAAACTCTCAGGATTGTTAAAATGATTTCTTTTAGCCCAATAAAGGCCTCCTTTCTCGAAATAGCACAAGAAAGATTTGATTTATGTGTTCTGTGCTGATGTTTTGAAGCCAGTTGGCAATCACTAATCCAACTATCTATCTATCTATCTATCTATCTATCTATCTATCTATCTATCATCCATAAATCCATCTATCATCTACCATTTATCCTCCTATCTCTCTATCTCCATCAATCCATCTATCATCTATCATCTATCTATCTATCTATCTATCTATCTCCATCCATCCATCCATCCATCCATCCATAGTGCATGTATGTCTGCCTCAGCTGCCCTGGTGCTGGGATTGTAGGCATGAGCTGCACTGCTCATCTCTGAATGCAACATTGTTAGCAGTGAGGATCAGTTTTTGCTCAGCTTTCTTAGTTTGTAACTTAGGCAGGTCAGTGTTTGTTGCGTCTTCTTAAAAGTTTTTTTTTTTTTTTAATATCTTTTTGAGACAGGTCTCCCGGTAGCCCCAGCTGTCTTGGAACTCACTATGTAGACCAGGCTGGCCTTGAACTCAGAGAGATCCGCCTGCCTCTGCCTCCTGAGTGCTGGGAATAAAGGCGTGCCCCACTGCGCTAGGCTGGGCACACAGGCCAGACCTTTAAAAAGTCTTAAACAATGACACCCTATGCCAGGCAGTACATTTAGTTCTTGTTTTTGTTCTAGAATTAGTTCTATGCTTCTTTCATTTTGTGCTAAGTCACTTGTTACCTTTTATATTCAGTTTTTATGTGTGATTTTTTTTTAAGCTAAACACAGGATTAGCGAGCTAACGTATTCATGTTTTAGAAAGTCAGTTTTTCTAAGCACATGTTGAATGTGGCAGACATGGAGAGATCTATTGTCGTTACCACATTTTACTTCCTATCTAGGTTTGTGTGTGGGTTTCTTTAAAAACTTCACCATTGTACATTCTTAGATGTAGAAAAGAATGCTTTTCCTGTCATTGGCACTTAATAAAAGTTGGTGCCATTAGTAGGGTCATGAATAACTGGTTACAACTCTCCCCTACTGGACTATTAAAGTGGACCCACCCCATACACACTCTTTAATTCGTTTCATTACAGTGTTTAGACTCAGTGTGGACATGCAGTCCTCTGCTTCGGTGACTTCTTTTCTGGATGCTCTGACAGGAACCTTTACAGTCTTGCTAGCCAGGCGAGGTCATGATACAGGGTCACTTCTGGAAATTAGGAAAGTTCCTGCCAAAGTGCTGCTTTGTGCCAGGACATCACAGAACTCAATCTCCATGCACATACATCATGAGATAGAGTTACGGTACCGTGTCATAATCGCTTCCAGCTTAGTGTAGCTTGCAGGCACTGGGCAGGGGGAGATGGTTTACCCTGTGTTGTCAATCGACTGGGCTGCACGGACCTAGGAACAATCTGAGGGTGGCTTTCTGAACTGCATGGAATTGAACATGTGAGAGTGATGGGGGCCAGCGATCCCTCAGGACTTGGTGTTTCCACGTTGGCGTTTTTGAAAAGATGCCCGCCTAGAGAGCTGTGGACATGACACTTCAAACCCTGTTCTGGCTATGGGGAAAACTGGCTGGGAGTTTGTGATCCAATATGTATATATCAGCTACAATATATTACACGGTGATTTTTAAAAAGAAAGTGCTTTGCTGAATGCTTTGGCACAGACAGGCTTTCTCTTTTGTTTATATCACAAAGGATATAAGTAGACACTAGGTTGTAATGAGTTTTAAAAAAGATTTATTTTTTATTTTATGTGTATGAGTGTATTGCCTGTAGGGTGTTGTGCTGTGTCCACAGAGGTCAGAAGACAGCGTTGGCTATCCTGGGACTGGTTTTACAGATAGTTGTTAGCCACCATCTGAGTGTTGGGAATTGAACCTGGGTCCTCTGCAAGAGCAGCCAGTGTTCTTAAACACTAAGCTGTCTCTCAGCCCCATGTAATAAGGCTTTATAAAATCACTTACTGGCATGTTTGCACATGAGGTCAAGAGCTACCTTAACCTAGTTTTGGAGTAAGACAGTATATAAATAAAAATATGGATACATGAAAATCCAAGGGGAACCTCATGTCCCCCATGGCACAGTTCCCTCTATTCAGTTTCCCTGAGACTGTCACATGAATTACCCATTTTGATTGTTGCAGTTTTGTTTCATTCTAATTACATACTTTTTTATTTAACATGATATCCTAATCCTAACCATTTAAGATGTTTCCATGGGTATGGTAATTATATAGCCACGTACTTTGAAGACACCATTCCCACGAGAGACATTTATTCAGTTCTGTCCTTTGCCTACTTAGCTTTCTCGGTGGCCAAACCGTGATGGGTTTGTCCCGGCTCCAGTGTGGAGCTCTTTGTCCCTTCATCTTATCATGAAAGAGAATGCCTGTAGCCGTTGATTTTATAATGAAATCTGCATACAAAGCTTAGTTCAGTACCTGGTCCATGCTGAGAACTCGGTAATGGTGTCGTCAGTGTCTCATCGTTCTCACCCCTGGCCGTCCTTGGGATGGCCATCACTGTCCTTGGAAGTCCCGTTGCTCTTCCTAAGATAAGGTGACAGAGGCTTGTGGGTACTTGGAGCACTACCAAACGACCCTGTGTTCCTTTATTGTAGTTGTGCATTTTACCTCACTCTGCTTATAGCAGAACGCCATGAATAGGATGACTTATTGTTTCCCACAGTTATGGATACCAGGAAGTCCACAATTACGGCAATGGTTTGTTCTCTGTGATGCGCCCACGTTCTGGTTGGTAAACCAGAGATGTGCCTTTATTGGTGGGCGGGGCAAGGTAGCTCTCTGGGCCTTTTTTTATCTGGTCACTAATCCAATGATTGAGGGCTGGCACACCTGTGATACAATTACCTCCCAAGCCTCCTGATGAGGCTGTCACATTGCCTAGAAGTTTCTGACACAGGGATGAGGGTTGGGGTCGACACCAGCCTACACTATCACATCTCTTGTCCCATTGACCTGAGGGGTGGTACATGGGAACAGGGACTTCCTCACCTGAGCCATGGCGTTCCCTGGACCCACATTTAGTTGAAACCGTGTGTTGTATTGATTTATAATGAACAAGTAAAGTGTTTAGTCAAAGAGTGACTTCTGTTGCAGTCCACCGATGTCTGTGAGCAGATCTTGAGGGTGGTGAGCAGGTCCAGTCGGCTAGAAGAACTGGTGTTGGAAAATGCTGGACTTAGAACGTGAGTATTTTCCTCAGCCTGTTGCTTTAAGTGCTATACCATTTGCTTTTTTAACTGGTCCATAATTTTAAAAAGTTGGGATGCTCATATATGATGTTTTCCCTTTTGAAAAAACAAAATACACAAAAACTATAGGAGTTATTCTCACTGTGACAAAATACGTGGACAGAACAACTTAAGGGAGGGGTCGTTTTGACCTGCAGCTGAGACAGATATGGAGCATCAAGGTGGTGAAGGCACACTGGCAGGGGCTTTGTAACAAGGGAAAACCCTGTTAAATCCCTTCCAGAGGCAGGATGCAGAGAGCCAGGGTGGACCAGCAGAGGGGCCAGGCCATGGCCAGCTAGCTGCAGATCTGTGGCCCTGTGCTGCCAGCCGGACCCTGACTCCCGGTTGCTCCACAGTCTCTAAACAACGCCACCACCTGGGGGGCCTTGTTTGGATTCATGAGCCTGTGGGGGCCATTTTACATTCAAACCCAACCCAAAGCAATCAACCAGTTCATGATACCATCATCATCACGAAAGCCAAGTATTTGGTGTCATTTCCTGCTGCTGTGCTGTATGACATTCCTGAGGTACATGGTGTGGTAGTTTATCATGTGGATGCAGGACAGATGCCTTATGGTCTCAGGCAGCTGATTCAGTTCTACATCCCACTGTCTCTGACTTTAAGGTGCGTTTGGTAACTGTGGTTGTGAGAGTAGATGAATCAATACACATATAGTATGTAGAAGGCACCTTTTGTACTGAAAATGTGCATGCAGCTTTACTTTAGTATTAGTGACAATATTGTTTCATATGATTTTTAAATATTTTATTATTTTTATTACGTGTGTATGAGTGTATTGCCTGCACGTATGTAAGTACACCCATGTCATGCAATGCTCATGGAAGTCAGAAGAGGGCGTTGGATTCCCTGGAACTGGAGTTACAGATGGTTGTAAGCTGCATGTGGGTGCTGAGAATTGAACTCGGGTCCTCTGCAAGAGCAGCCAGTGCTGAGCCGTCTCTCCAGCCCCTCATATGATTTTTAAAGAGATTTATTTGTATTATTTTTAATCATGGGGCAGGGTATGCACATGTGAATGCAGTGCCCAAGGAGGCCAGGAAAGGGTGTCAGATCCCCTGGAGCTGGAGTGTCAGATGATTGTGAGCTGTCTAACATGGGCGCTGGGAACTGCGCTCGGGTCTCTACAAGAGCAGCGCATGGCCCGGATTCCTCAGACGCCTCTCCAGGTTGTTACGTGCTTTTACTGCATTGATCCGTTTCAGTCACTTTTCTTTCCAAGTTCATACACAGCCTTCATCTAGTGGCCTCATAGTCACCTCTAAGCTTTGTTCTGAAGAGCACGGGTTAGAATCTGGCAGAACAAAGACTCTATTGCTGTTAATGACAAGGGTGGGTATTTTGTAGCCATAGCACTTAGTGCATTATTTCAGGCTAAATATAACTAAAATAGTGATTTTCCTTTTGTGTGAAATACAGTGCTAACAACAATAACCTTGAACTCAGTTATTAAAGCAATCAGTTTTGTATTAGTGTTACATGAAGTGAGAGGTAAGACAGTGAACAGCCTACTGGGATCTCCTTGAAAGTAGGTTCATTTGGGCATTAAAACATTAGCCTGTGGTACCATAAAGCATATAGCAGTGGGTCATGAGAGCGGGGTGTTATGAGACATCTGACAAGAAGCCAGGTGTGGAAGGATGGGACTATTTTGCACAGTGATTAAGGGACAGGGTTCATCACAGCAGGGAGGGCATCATGAGCTGGCCGGCCACACTGTCTTCAGCCCAGAAGCAAACAGCCAGCAGGAGGTGAGGCCAGGCTGTGAAACCTCAGGGGCCACCCCGAGTGATCTGCTTCCTCTTGTGAGGCTCCACCTCCTAAATATTCCATAACCTTCCAGAACACTGTTACCAGCTGGGAAGAAAATGCCGGAACGTGGAAGCCTGTGGGAATACTTCACAGGCAAGCCACAGGGCAAATTACCCATTTTTATTTGGTTCTATATGAGGTTTTGGCAAATCAAGGTGAACTGTAATTTGGTTATGAATCTATAAATTCCCTACAAGGGTGTTAATGGATGTTTGCAAATCCATGATAATAGAATGTTGAGGTTGGTTTTGTTTGTTTTGTTTTTGCTCCCTTAGCACCCCCCAACCCAGCTACTGGACCTGGAGCTGCCCCCCCCTCCCCCGGCCCTGCAGGCAGCCCTATGTGGGAATGCGGAGTTGTCTTGGTTTTAGGTCTCACTTTATTTTAATCTTTAAATACTTTACTTGGACGGTTTTGCGTTTTGTCTATTTACTGATGCCATTTTGTTTCCTTGCAGAGATTTTGCACTAAAACTGGCCAGTGCTCTAGCGCATAATCCCAACTCAGGACTCCACACGATCAACCTTGCTGGGAACCCGCTGGAGGACCGAGGTACTGCACTGGACAGGGCACCAGTGATGCCAGAGGTGTGGGGCCACTGCAGTCCTAACGGCCAGGACTGAGGAACAGTATCGATTTACGTTGTGATTCTTCACTCCCAGGCCTCCCTCATTCTTGGCAGTTGACTGGCCCATCTCCTTAAGCCGTAGACCAGCAGGCCCTGTGCCCTTATCCTTGGTAGGGACACTCCCAGCTCTGAGGCTGTTCAGATCCCTGCCCCATGGCCTCAGGACAGTTTGCAGTGTTAGGAGCCACAGAGCTGGGTTCTCTGCTGCTTCAGTTTCTTTAGACAGGGCAGGCCCACACCACACATTCTCAGCCCCTTATTTATTAGTTTTCTGAGACTGGGTCTTGCTATGCAACCTAGCCTGGTCTCAAATTTACAGTCTAACCTCTGCCTCTCAAGTGCTGTGATTATAGGCATGTGCTACTATAGAAAACTCTCTCTTCCCTCCCTCCCTCCTTCCACCCCACCTCTAGGGTCTTGTGCACACTAGGTGAATGCTCTACCACTGAGCTCCATTTGCAGCCCATGCTTTCTCTTAGGATGAATTTAGACTTTGTTGATTCAATAATTGTGTATAACAACCCCTGTTCTTATAATCACCTGTCTCTTGCTCTATGGGGATGGGAAGGAAGCCAGATTCTTGGGCCACTTTAGATTTCTGCCTACCACTTGTATCTTTTAATACCTTATAAAATTTGAATGTGTGAAATTTGATTTGTGGTGAGATTGAAGGACCAGATTTGCGAGGAGAGGGATTCGTCCAACAGTTTGCATCTGGGCCTAGCAGTGTGGCTTAGTGATAGAGTGCTTGCGTAGTGTGTGTGAAGGCCTGGGATCAATTCTCACCAATGCAAAGTAAAAATTTTAAAAAAGGGGGTCGGAGACATGCTCAGTGGTTAGGAGCACTGACTGCTCTTGCAGAGGACCTGGGTTTGGTTCCCAGCACCCCCATGTCAGGCTAACAACTGTCCGTAACTGCAGTTCTAGGAGATCTGACGCCCTCTTTGGGTCCCCGTGGCACTGCATGCGTGTGTTGCATTTACATGTATGCAGGTAAAACACTCATCAAAAACATTTTTAATTGAAACGAAAGAAAAAAAGCATGCATGGACAGCACAGGCGGCACCACGGCTGAGGTGGGGACCAAAGCCTGCGAGGAGTTCTCCACCTCCACTGCGAAGTGTTCATGGGTTTAGGAAGGACTCGCTCCGTCCCTGGAGGGATTTTCTGTTACAGATGTTCTCCAGAGTGTGGAACGAGGGCCTTTCACCTCTCAGTGGAGTTAGGTGTTTGATGAAGGGTAATTTTTCAGCCGAGCTGAGGACACTGATCCAGACGGTTCCACTTTTACCTTCTCGCTTGGATCCTGCCAGCGTATGA